TTATTGTTCATTAATTATTTATGATTTACTATTTATTTTTTATCATTTATTATTTTTTATTACGTATTTATTATTCATTATTTTTAATTATTTATTATTCATTACTATCATTTTATTTATAATTTATTGTTTGTTATCTATTATTTATATTTATTATCATTATTATTATTAATCTCATAAACATTCCACATCGTTCTTATAAATGAATACAGTTCTTTAAAATTTTATCTTCAAAAATACTGAGAAGTCAAACCTGATCATAATCAGAAATAATGATATTACTATTAGCAATGAAATTTCCATCAGTTACACCTGTCTCTTGTTGATCGCTACCAAAGGACATCGACATTGAATGCATTGCTAATACTGTGTCTGGAACAGTTGGAACATTTCATGATACTAAAAAGAAAGAAACGAAACAACAAAAAATGAAACAATTAAACTTGCAAATGAGATAGCAAGTATCGTTTGTAAAAATGTTGCATAAGCGATGAGTACTGAGAAGACCTAAAATTATTTAAAAAACCACAACCTTCAAACTTTTATATCCACGAATAACTAAACAGCACCTAGATAGTTGAAAAAAACTGCAATTTGAAAAACAATCCAAATATCATATTCCAAACACAATGCAACAATTCTAACTAAAACTAAAAAATATGAGAATGATGGCATAAACCTGTAACAAGAAGTAAGAAGAAGTCCAAATTTTAATGTTTATTGCAGATACAAGCAATTTATAATATAAATACACAGTCAATATTGTTGCAAACAGCAAAACTAAATTTTAGTACAGTTGGCAATCAATAATAATAATACGGAATGACAAAAGAACTATTCACGAAGTCTGAACACTGAGTTTAAAAGTTAGGGATTACACAGAATGTCATATGAAGTGAAAAGTGGTGAAAAACCATAAAATACGACAAAGAAAGCTAAAGAAAACTCCAGAAATTTGAAAAAAATAGTAAAACATTTGGAATAATACAGGGCATGTAAAATATGATGTTTATATCAAAATAATAACCAAATGAACGAAGAAAATGGATAAAATGATTAGAATATTGAAGAGCCATGTTCACTGGAACAGTTAGTAATTGTCTAACTTTTAGTAGGAAGCGGCGGTGCATACATCGGTTGTTGGGATGGAGCATTTGGTCCAATTCCAGAGTTATGTACCTGTCCTCCTGCTGGTATCGCTGATGGATCTGGACCAATACCCGAATATGGCGGTGGAGCTTCGTACATATAAACATCACCAGCTAAACAATGAAAATTTTGAAGAGTTAATTCAACAATATACATTTATTAAATATATTTCTAATACTTGAATGCTGCTGGCTGTATTATTTACTACTCAAAAGAAAAGAACTACAATAGCGAAAACTTCTCTGTTTTACAAATCTTGAAACTAATTACTTGCTATAATGAAGAAAAAAAAAACTATATATCTTAGTATAAAGAATTTATCCAAAGGATTACCTGGTGGATGATTAGGAAAAACATTCGTTGGTGCTTGAAAACCATTATAATTTCCTCCTGGAGGTATATAATATGTTGGTGGTGCAGCAAAATAATTTCCAGGTGGAGGAGCATAAGCTGGTGGTGCACCGTATGGACGAAAACGCTGGGCTGCAGATGATAAGTGATTACTTCCTACAGAAAGTTAGAAGTTATATCTTATTTTTGGATAGGAAACAAACCCATATCAACAGCTTTTAATAATGCCATTCCAAAGTCAATACATCCTCCTTTGCTGAATGTTAATTTCCAAGTTACTTGTCCATTCCAATTACCTAAAAAAGTTTTTCACCTTGTGGAGAATTAAGTCAGTATACCTGTAGCAAAAAAAAAAAAAACAATTCACATGAGAAAGTTAAAATTTATGAAATATTCACCACCGGGTTGGGCTATAGCAACACCCTTTAAAAAATTGGCCCCAAAAACTGGTTGTTCAAGCTTCAAATCTTTCATGCAATGGAATGGAATCGAAAATGAACGCAGTGAATCATTTTTTCGATTAATAAAAATGATCTGAAACAATAAATCTATAAATTGAAAAATAATCTAAAACAACAAATCCATAAATTTTTTTAAAAAAAAAAAGTAAAAAAGAAACTAAAAAAAAGAAAGACCGTACACGATGACTGGTTAGATATAAATTTCCGGATTTATTTCCTTTGAAAATATTACTCGGTATATTCTCAAAATGACAGTTCACTTCATCCGTGTAAACTAATATCCTTCAAACAAACAAATAATTATTAAAAAAAAAAGAAAAATTAAAATCAAACGAAATGATGAAGCCAACCACCAGCTATTTGCATATGATATGTATAATACATCTTATTGTCTTAACACATTCATTTTTGCATATGAAAATTTGCATGAGAAAAATTATAAAAACGAACATTTCACCATTGTAGATCAATACTCCACGTCCATCAGGTGTATTTGATGTATTCACTGACATTATTAACAGTGATTACTGCTGCAAAAAACAAAAGGCAAAATAGAAAAGAAGAAAAATCAATTTTCATTAATATCATAATTATAATACATATAAGAGTTATTTAACATGATAAGTGATAAGATTAATATACACATGATGTATTGTTTATATATAAATATCATTGTTAATTAACATTTTGTAAGATAAAGGAGAAATACAATCTGAAAAGGATATTTTCAATTATTTTTTTAATTCAGAAAAAATATTTACCAGAAAAATTTGTAAACTTTTAACAATGATAAATACATTTGTTGGTACATTTATTTTACATTCATCCATTAATGTTTATTTTATTTCAGTACGTCTTGAATTAAATTTTAGTGGATGCATTTCGGTAATTGAGACGAGTACTCATGTTGAGTTCGGTGAAGAACGACTTGATTAGGATGAAGAGCAAAAGCGAAATTTATTTAATTACTTTTGATGCAATGCAGGAAAATTATTAATAAATCGATTTCACCACATGTAAATTATTTCCTTGCTTTTTTCTTTTTTTCTTCTTTAAGACAAAATTAGATGGATTATTTATTAATACAAATTGTGCACACGTTTAAAGTGGAAACGTTTCGAAATAAAACTGATTGCTGGTTAAATCACTTTGACTTGATAGCTTGAAAAAGCATCACGAAAAACATTAAGTTATTTCATGCGCAATTTTGATTAGCATTAAAATAAGCATGAAAGATAAGTGTAAATTTTATTGGTTTCAAAATCGATACATTTGTTGATTATTTCAATTGAAAAAGGTAATATACCGAATAATTAATCATCTTCAATCAAAAAATCGGAATATGATAATAACGCAATACAATATGTATTCAACATCATTGTTATTCGCTATTTACTTTATTTATTATATTTACTTATTATTTATTCATCTATTTTTTGAAAATACTATTCAACATATCATGTCTTTTATAGTGCACTTTCAGGAAAGTTATTAAAAACAAGTATGCATAAATCTTATTACCTAATTACTATACAGGTAATAATCTGTAATATATATTTAACTTCTTAAACTGAAAAAAAACACATCAGAAAAGTTATATTAGTAATATTACAGATATAAAATAAGTTTAAAAAGCAATAAAAATTCTAACCAAAAATTTCACACTCAATCAAAAGCAACCATATGCTAACATCGGTAATTCAGGAATGAATTTAAGTAGCAATGAATCATCAAAAATTATATCACTGCTTTACTCTGATGACAGGCGGTTCAACCATTCGTAAACATTCATCATTTTATCATTTACCATCGCTAGGCTCTCTGAATATTTTCTTTCCTTTCTCATTACTTACATTTTCACTTTTTTTTTCTTTCAATTCTTCATCCTTTCTAATCTGTTACTCTTCTCAATTTCATACCTTCTCGAACTTTCAGTTTTTTTTTTTAATCCCAACCTTATCTTCTATCAAATTATTACACTATTTTCTCGTCTAATTGCCTTTTGTACAATTACAATAGTGTATATACACTTATCAATAACCTCACATTCTCTTTCTTCTTCTCCTCCTCTCTCTTTCTCATTCCCACTCTCTTTTATACAGTCAGTATTACGCGATATGTGTAATTGCAGAACAAATAATAATATTTACCGGATTTGCGTACCGTTTTTCAGGAGTGTTCGGTGTTCTTTTTTGATTTTTTTCTTTCTCTTTCTCATCCTTTTTTCCTCTTTCTCTCTAACTTATTTCATTATAAGTTAGAGAAAAATTATGAAATTAGCTGGGAAAATGAAAAAAGAAAATACATGAAAAAATAAACGTTTAATGTTTGAGGAAGTTATAAGAAAGTATGATTGAATGTAAGTTTTCTATTCGTATATATTTCATTTATCTTTTAGCTCTTATAATTACACAATAACAGTATAAAGATGAAGATAAATGCAGGAATGAATACTGAGCCAATAACTTACGCTAATATAAAAGTGTCAAATTGAATTGTTCACTATCCATATTATTATTTATGGCAAATAATTTGTTAGCTTGAATAGGTAGACTTGTAAAAAAGCTATATACTATATAAAGTAATGTTAAGTAAATTACAAAGATAAGCAGCAGTGGAAGTAGTAATACTAGAATTAGAAGTAGTAATAATAGGAGTAGGAGTAAGCGGATCGCAAGGATGATGGTTGAAATCTCGCTGGATGATAACGATGCTGTCACCGACCGTATTAACTTGGCATCGCAATGAAAATTGTAACTATGCTCCATCATCATTTCTGACTTGTATTATCAGTAGTTTTGCAAATTGTTATCATCATATCAATTGCTACTGTTAGCAAAGCTTATTTAAGTAACATTTTAAGGATAAAAAGATGAATGACATAAGACAGTAAGATTCCATATGATTAACACCGTTTAAAGGTATGTTTTGAAAAGTAACGACTTGAAGAATTTTTTTTCTTTTTGATAATTGTTAGATTATACATTGACTTAACAGTTATCTTTTTCATACATTTTTAGGTCATACAATGTATATAATATGATTGTTGACTTTTCATTTATTGTTTATTTGCTCACATCTTATTTAACATTATCAATTGGGAAGGTATATGTGGAGTTATTTTACATTATTAATTTTTTTTTAGCTCAGTAGTTCTTACGATAAGTTCTTACATAAGATGGAATTGCTAGAAGAAGTGAGTGAAAGAAAATTGGACTTAAAAATTTTATCACAGATTGTAGGGAAATTCTGTGAGTTTAAGTGGGCGAATAAGAAAAGAGTGTAAGGTAAAATGACAGAGAATATTGAGGTGTAATTTTGAGAAATAAAGTAAAATTTTTGAAGAAATGGAGAAAAGTGAGAGAAATTATTTTTTTTTTAATTTTTTTTTTCAATTATTTTTCACTCGTAATGATCAGGCTTAATTAATCTAATAATTCTATTGAAGATGCATTTTCAGGATGAACGAATGTCAAGTTATCATAATCGCAGAATTAAGCTTCTCGACAGCTTCCGCATTAAGTATTTAGAAGTATTTAGTGATCATATAGATAGTTCATGCGAAGGAATTAAACTGTTGACTTTTTCGGGATATTTAAGTTATGGTGGGTGTAAGGTTTAAATAGTTTTCTGGAATTATTACATCAAGGTTGCTGGTTCCCCATCAGTTTCCTTCTTTCTTTTTTTTTATTTCTTTTGTAGAAAAAAGTATTAAAAATTCTGATGTGCTTAAAAACAATTCATTTAAAACTAATATTCAAACAAAAAGTATCAGTAAGAAGAGAATGAAAAAAAAAACACGAAGCTTTATGAAAAATTTGGTCCCAGCAGCAATTCATTCTTTTTTTTCTTCGGGATTTTAGTCATGTTGTAAAATGTAGATGAAGAAGTTTATAAGATCTAATTGAAATTAGGGTTTTTGTAAGGATTTACAATAAAACTTTGGTTGCATCCATAAAATATTTCATTGTAATGTTGCTTTCCTTCTATCTCGTAATCGTTTGAACAAACTCTAAGTTGACAATAAGTAATTATAGTTTTTTAAGATAATTATAGTTTTTGAAGTGCTAGGAATCTAAATAAATACAGCATAACTTGCGAATAAATGTGGTAGCGTTTGTCTTTCACTTTCATCAATTTTAATATAATACGCTATGAATGGTTGTGATTTTTTCACCACTTAGTGCAAAATCATTTTTATTCTTTTTAGATTTGTGAGAAATGTCGGCTCGGTACTTTACTGATCAAAGTACTGGCATGGTATTGTTAGCCGGGAATTCCCATTTGGAATTAGCAAGACTAGTAGCAGAGTATGTTTGTTCTGTTGTGAATTTTTCTCTTGTGTTTTGAAGATTGTATTAATTTAAGGCAAATACAAATAATTTTGCAGACGCTTGGGAATTAAGCTTGGAGAAGCGATTATTTACAATAGAACAAATCGTGAAACTTCAGTTGAAATTAAACAGAGTGTTCGGGGAAAACATGTATTCATTCTTCAATCTGGTTCAAAGTAAGTTAATAATTCGCTTATTGTCGTAAAATTAGAAGAAATTATTTCCTTTGTCTATAGCGAATTAGAGATACGTATCTGATTAGAACCATGGAAAAATAACTGTTAGTACAGCATGCAACTTCACTTTATATTGGTTAGTTAAGTTGTCAACGGTTAGTTTTTTTTTTTTTTTTTTTTTAAACTAACTGATGAAATTTCAGAGATGTGAATAATAACATCATGGAACTGATGATATTAATATATGCATGTAAAACTTCAATGGCAAAAACGATAACAGTAGTGATGCCATATCTGCCTTATAGCAAACAGTGTCGAATGTTACGCCGATCATCCATACCAATGAAGCTTATCGCTGATATGATGTGCAATGCTGGTTATTATTCTATTTTCTTTTTGTTTTTTCTTCCGTTTGAGAAAATAATTGGTTTATAGTTTGTGAAGATCACTGAATTTGGTTAGTACAAATGTTAATGCTTGTTTAATGATGACAAAAAGAGATTTCAGGAGCGACACGAATAGTTTCTCTCGATTTGTACAGAAAGGAAATCCAAGGATTCTTTTCAGTACCTGTTGATAATTTGCGTGCTTCGCCTTTTTTATTACAGTACATAAAAGAGAATGTTGGTATTTTTTTCGAAACTTTTTCTTACTTTTATAAATTGATTATATTTTCCTTCAACTCAATTTCATATTAATGAATTTATGCACTATTTCGTTGTTCAAAATCAAAAGATTTAGATACCGGATTATAAAAATGCTGTAATAGTTGCAAAGAATCCCGGCGTTATGAATAAAGCAACATCCTACGCAGATCGACTGAGATTAGGTAAATATATCATATTGTTTTGGTTGTCACTTTTATTTCAGTAAATTTTGAATTAAAACAAAATTTGGATAACCCATCAATGAGATAAAGGGATCTGGGATCCATCATAACTGGGGATACCTAAAATGAGACTTGTAGTCTCGTTTTAAGTAGCTCTAAACGATGCGGTCACTGTCAACCACATGAATGATATACATTTAATCCATCAGGCTCTTTCTTAAGGTGATTAATAGTTTGCAATTAATATGTATAATTTTCCTGTTGTTTGAAGTTTTTAAAATTTGTTGACAGGTGCTTAACTTTTCAGAACATAGCATTATAGAGAAAAGTTTTTGGGAGCCTTGAGCTTTTTATGAATTGATTGCAAGATTCATTTTATGTCTTATTTTTAACAGTTCAGCTTAATTATTCGTTCAACCGACTACCTCAAAACTATTCTGATTTTAAAAGTTGAAATTCTCATTACTTCGCATAGCTTAGAAAGCTGTAGACGAACCTCAGTATACATGAACCTAAAATATCTGATTGTGGGTTTTTTCCCTATTTTGATATCTCTTCTTTAGTTCTGGTAACATACATATTGCGCTGAAAAGCTCAGGTCATAGTTTTAATGCAAATTTCAGTATTTTCGTTATTAACTGTAGAAATATTTTCCATGCTTTCGTCTACAGAAGCAAGAGGTTTGTATGATTGTTGTGTGGTGGATTGAAACAAATTGATATAAAAATTCACTGTGTGATAGACGAAATATAGAGGTATGACTAATTTAGGTGACGTCGTTACTCCTTCAAATTGGAATCAAAGCATTAATATTAACACTAATAGAGATTGTTAGGCTTACGTATAAAATTAGAACCTTATAACTAATCGACAAAATGCAAACTGATATAGTTTTAGCACTAAATTGCAAACTGATAGAAAGATATCATCTATCGAAAAACCACATAATTGGAGTTTGAAGAAATTTGGGGATCGAAATTCAGAGTATTAGGGTAATTCATGATCATATTGAAAACATGGGTAGTTCATAATCATTGAAAATTTGTGATAAATGGGTAGTTCAGAACGTTTGCAAATAAATTTAGCACAATATTATTATCAAAATTGTTGAAAAAGTACAGTGAATTCAATGGTTTAGTTTGGTATGGTTTCACGTATTGTACTAAAACTACATTATGTCATTGAGCAAACTGCTTGTGCTTATATATATATATTTTTTGATCTTGCATGATAAGCATGCATGCTATGAAAAGTTTTCACATGTCTTGTGCAATTTCCAATTCTGCAGTTTCTGTAACTTCTGGAAAAATCTTTCGTTTCCAAATGATTATTTTCTCTGTTGTAAAGATTATTCCTTAACTATTTTTAGCTGTTACTTCTAAAACTTCCGATATTATCTTAAGTAACGATTATTATATTAAGTATTTCCTTTTTCTTTTCATTATTTGATCATTTTGTATAAGACAACGTTTCAAAAAACCACATCATCTCAGTCACTCATTTTCGAAAATCGCTACATATTACATGAGGTTTTAGAAGTTTTCACCAGCACTTTTTTTTGTTATTTTGAAAAACTTGGCAAACGGAGATTTGCCGTTTATCTCCGAGAAACTTCTGTCTGTTTTCTTCAGTTTTAAACAAAATTTTAGGTGTTGCTGTCATACACGGTGAACAGAAAGATGTTGAAGAAAGTGGTTTAGAGGATGGACGACAAAGTCCACCGCTGGATGGTAAGCCAAACGAAAATCTTACCGCTTTTGAGATGTTTCCAGGTAACGTTTCTTTTTGACACGAAACAATATTAAATAAATTTTTCAAGCAAAGAGTTATTCAACTACTTTCGTCATTTAATATCAAATCTTGCTTAATAATTCACATTCACGATTTACTATTGCTTCTCTCAAATAGTATTGAAGGTTTAGCACAGTAGAAAATTTGCCGTATGAGTTGAAATTCGTAACGAGACATATGAAGTCCACGGGAGAAATTAATAGATAGTATGCACTTTAGTTTTTGTAAAATCCAAAATTCCTAGATATGAGGCGCATTTAAAGTGTTCTCTGTTGTTTTCTTTAGATGCTTTGTGATGCAACTTTTGTTTAAAGCTTTAATCGAGATGATTCATATTTCCAACTTGTCATGACATATTTTAGCTCAAGTTGCAAAAGAAAAACCTCCACTAACAGTTGTTGGTGATGTAGGTGGACGTATAGCAATTATGGTGGTAAGTTTCGACGACTTGAGTATTTCTTCTTTTATTGCATGCAATAATCATTTAGTTGTAAAATAAGTTTAGTTTTAACAAGAAATCAAATGTGAATGCTTTCTAGTAATTGTTCATATTCGTTTGCAGGATGATATGATCGATGATGCGCAATCTTTCGTCGCTGTTGCGCAAGTGTTAAAAAATCATGGTGCTTATAAAATTTATGTCATAGCTACACATGGATTATTATCAGCAGATGCTCCTGATCTTCTTGAATCTTCACCCATTACTGAGGTAAATTTTGTAATTGTTATTATGTAATTGCTCATTACTGAGGTAAATTTTGTAATTGTTCATATAATTGTTCATTATTCATTTATTAGGTAGTTGAAATAAAGTTTAGTGTTTCATATCTTTTTTCTAGAATTCCGTGAAATAGATAACATCCACAATGTTTCTTTATTAATTTTTTTTAATGATCCTGAAGTAATGGTAACAGAATTAGTTTGAATGTTGGACAATGGACTGTTGTGTAGATGATTCAGCCAAGATAGTAAACAGGTTTTAAATTATTAGATAGCTAGCTTACCAAGTGATAAAAAGGGGAGCAGTATTTATGGGTATTAAGGAAACCAATTTATTTGATAATATCTGGCACATGTTTTAACATAATTTAAACCAATCTGGTAGATATACTATATAAAAGTGATGTAATATGAAAGTGTCATTCTATTGCTTATTATTTATTCATTTAATTTATCCACTACATTTCATCATTCTATTTTCCATGAAATAAAATTCAGGTAATTGTAACAAACACAGTACCCCATGATGTACAGAAGCTGCGCTGTCATAAAATTAAAACAGTTGACATATCATCGGTGTTATGCGAAGCAATCCGACGAATTTATCACAACGAGTCAATGGGGCAAATGTTCCGAGGTGTAACAATTGGTGATTGAAGTTAAATGAAAATTAGTACTGACAATCATTAAAATGATTCAGTGCAAGTGCTTATAAAGATTTTCTGTAAATTGATAATTCTATACTACCGGTTTTTTTTTTTTTTTTTTTTGGATAAATTCTCAGACTAATGATGTTATCTATCCAGAAAACTTTTTTTTTTCTGCACATTATTTTTCATATTGTTGCCATCTAATGGTGACTCCAATAATTGCACACCAGTATGTCTATAACTATCCTCTTATTTAGTAATATCCATCTGTGTCATATGATGGTCCTAACAAATAGTTGTTCACATATTGAAAGTAAGTAAGTAAAGTAAGTAAATAAATAAGTAAGTAAAGCTTCAGAAGAATATGTGAAACATGAGAAATGAACTTCAATTTTTGTTAATCTAGGCTAAGTAAGCTATGAAACTCAACTAACTTTAGCCGAATAATTTCTCACTTCTTTAACAGTTTAATTAAGGCATGTTTGAAATTGCTTTCGAGATTTTTATTTTTCTTTAATCATTTTGAGAGTCATATTAATTTTCACTTTCATTCATTTCATTCACTTATAAAATCGAACCATCATGTTGGCAATGTTCCAATAGTTATCGTTAGCTTTCATCTAACACTGACAAAATTCCAATCAACTTTGTATTTCTAAAGTAATGTACTTATTTTCGAGGGACTGAAAAAAGCTATTAGTATTAATAATATTATGCG